ATTTCCTGTGTGTTGGGAGAATGGAGAGAAAAAACCCCGAGCCGAGCGGCTTTCGGCCCCTGCGAGGCGGCCGCGGCCTCCGCCGGGGGAGCCCGCCCTGAGGCGCGCCGGACCGGGGAGCGAGCGCGCGGGCCGGAGCGAGCCTCGAGGGGCCGCGGCCCCGGCCCGCCCCGCCGCCGGCCCGGGCGCGCGAGCTGGAGGCAGCGGAGCCACCCCCACCCCCACCCAGCGCAGCGCCGCCCGCCGCCGCCACAGCTCTCTCCCCTCCCGCCCCCGGCGGAGGCCGAGGGACGGGGCGGGGGGCTCCCGCAGGTAACCGTCGCCCAGGCCTGAGGAGCAGGGAGAGGGTCGGGCTTGAGGGACTGGGGCCGGCCCGGGGTGTCCGGCCTGGGGAGCTGGGAGCAGAGGTCCCAGCCGGACCCGACCTGGGAGTGCGGAGCCTCCTGGACTCCGAGCAAGGGCTTGGGGTGCTGAGTGGAGTGTTCCTGCCCGGCCCGACCCGGGAGTGCGGGCAGGGGGCCGGGCCAGGCCTGGCGTCAGAGGGCTGAAGTGTCTCGGGCCGGCCTGGGGGTCCGGCGGGGCTTGGGCGCCGGTCTTCGCCCGCGGGTGCAGAGGAAGGTACCTGCTGGTCGCGCGGGGCCTTGGGTGCAAAGGCGGCGGGTGTGAGCGGGCGGCGTCCGGGAGTCAGCACCCCTGCCTCAGGGCCCCTGGCAGCCCCGGGGGCACCGGCCGCACTCGCCTCTTCGCTGCGGGGCGGAGGGCCGGGCTCTGGGCTGGAGGGCGCCGCGCTGGGGCGTCCGGGAGGGCAGGGACCCGTTTACTGCCATGTGAACACCTGAAGCCATGTGGACGCGGCAGCTTCTCGCCTGTTGGGGGCGGAGGGCAGGTACCGGCGGGTTGGACGCACGGTCCCGGCGCTGGACACACTTCCTGTGTGGGGCGGCCTCCCCTCCCCCGCTCCGGGGGGCCGGGCAGTGTGTGCGAGCCGGGGGTCTCTGGGCGAGGGAGCGCTCGTTTGGGGGCCTGAGGCTCTAGTCCCTTTTTCGGGGAAAGTGGTGGTTTGAAGGAGCGTGGCCAGTCGGGCCGATCCCTCGCCCGCTGCGGCGGGAGGTGCACTGTCCAGAGGACGCCGGAATGGGAGTGGAATTTAGTGAGTTGGGGGGCGGTGCCGTGGAGCGGCCGTCTTCCTCTGCTTGTGGGTGGGATTATTGTCTGTTTTTGTGGTTGCGGATACCAGTACGGTCTGCTGGTCTGTATTCAATCCTTTAGGTCAGGTCAGAATTAGGATTTCCCCCTTTTTCCTTTTTGCTTTTTTCACTTGAAGATTAGATGTCTGTAGTAACTGCTGTAAAATGGATGGAATTTTCGAGCTATTATCTAACAGGCTGATCTTTGAATGATAATTGGACCCTTATGTTAGCCTCAGTGAAGAGTTTTTATACAGCATCTTCCGCGGGGTAGCAGTTTGGTGGATGGGGAAACTACACTGAATTTCGACCCAGGAGACCAGGAATCTGCTTACGGCTTTGACGTCAAATAAACTGCAGCCCAGGGCAAGTTACTTACCCTGGTGATTTCCTCATCCGTTAAGTGAGGATTCCCAGGTCAGACAGTACAGGGGTTTGTGGTTTTGCCTTTTGTATCTCTCATTTTGTGCTTTGTTTTAGCCATAGGTAACTGTTCTGAGAAATGCAGACTGTACCTTAGCTGGCTTTTTAAAGCCTGTCTTATTTGTAGCTTCCAGTCTCTGCCTTCCACAGAGCATAAAACTTGGTCAGGGTACATTCTTTTTAAAAATCCCAGTTGCTGTCCTGTGCTTCAGAACAAAGTGTATTATTCTGACGTAGGTGGAATGCACCTTATATATTTTTTGTCTTTGTGGAAGAAGTTATCAGAAAATATTTCAAAGAATATTTGTTTACTTGGAAAATGTGTGGATAACATGTGATTGGGTCTGTGTATGTTGGCTTAGAGAAGTTCCAAGATCTTTCTGTGCAGGGGATTACGGAAGATCCGGATCTTATTAAAGTTCTTCAAAGGACATTTGACATTTGACCAACTTGAAATTTCCAGCTTCAGCATTCTCAAAGTAGGGGGACAAAGTAGAATGCCGTATTATCTTCTGTGAAATGGTATGCCAGTGGAATTAACTGTCACCTCAGGGTACACTAATTATTTGCATTCCCAGCTTACTGCTTACTGGTAGCCAATGCTCCGCAGATGCTGAAGAACCGCAATTTCACTGAATTTATGGTGTGTGAAGGCCTTAGGCCATGCTTTTGACTGGTATTTCTATACCAGCCTCAGAATTGGTTTGTCTTAAATTTCTAGAACTGTGCTGCTGGGCCAGGTACGTACCCAATATGGTATAAAATGTCTTTCTCAGATCACCTTTTGTTATTTAATTTAGTTAGATCCCTTTTTATTTTATTTATTTTGAGACAGCGTGTTGCTCTGTTGCCTAGGCTGGAATGCAGTTTCGCGATCTCAGCTCACTGCAACCTCTGTCTTCTGGGTTCAGGTGATTCTTCTGCCTCAGCCTCCAGAGTAGCTGGGATTACAGGTGCATACCACCATCTGCTATTACAAGCAAAACACCCCATCTGTACTAAAAAAAAAAAAAAAAAAAATACAAAAATGAGCTGGACATGGTGGCATGTACCTGTAATCCCAGCTACTCTGGAGGCTGAGGCAGGAGAATTGTCTGAACCTGGAAGGCGGAGGTTGCAGTGAGCCAAGATCATGCCACTGCATTTCAGCCTGGGTAACAAGAATAAGTAAGCCTTCATCCCAAAAAAGCAAACAAAAACCAAAAAAACCCAGATTACCCAAATTGTAAGCAGTTATTACACTCACATGTATATTACGCTTGTCTTATAACTTACAAGGGAAAAAATTGTTAAAAAATTTTCATTTTGTAAAGTAATTTGTTTGTATTTATGTGAGAGAAGGTTGCCAAAATTGACAAGATATCAGGAGACAGAGATTTTAGGTTCCATAACCTCATAGTGGTATACTTTTTTTTTTTTTTTCCCCTCCAGGCAGAATCTTGTTCTGTCACCCAGGCTTAAGTGCAGTTGCACAATCTCCACTCACTGCAACCTTCTTTTCCTGGTCTCAAGTGATTCCCCTGCCTCAGCCTCTCGAGTAGCAGGGATTACAGGTGCCTGCCACCATGCCTGGCTAATTTTTTGTACTTTTGTAGAGACGGGATTTCACCATGTTAGCCAGGCTTGTCTCAAACTCCTGACCTCAGGTGAGGTCAGGAGGTCATTCCCCTGCCTCAGCCTCCCAAAGTGCTGGGATTATAGGCGTGAGCTACTGCACCCAGCCAACTTTTAAAAACTAATAAAATGTAATGTATTTGAAATGATCACATTTATTTGCAGTTGGTCTTTTTCTGGTGAGTCCAACCTACTTTTCATATAGGTAGGAAAAAATGCTAGCATTTGTATAAAAAACAATCCTTTATGCTAGACTCTGTCCAACGCATTTTAAATTGTCTTACAACATCCACCCAGCTGATCTTAGAGGTAGATCATCTTTCCTTTCCCCTAGAGGTGATAGAGCTAGTGAGGGTCAAGGCTTAGATATAACCCTCCTCCTCTTGGCACCAGATCCTGTACTGTACTAGGTTTGTTTCCTGCTCAAGGCACAAATCAGTTAGTGGTAAATGTGGCACTGGAATCCATATCTTCCTGTTGTGCCACCCCCCTCCTTTTTTAAAAAAAAAAAAAGCTGTTATGAACCTGAAATCTAGATTCAGGTGAAACACTGGAATGCATGGTTTTTGTGACTGCTTATGCTTTTGCTCCCCCTGGAGTTTCCTAAACTTTTACCCTGCCCATACTTGGCCAGTTTTGCCAGTGTACCTGAGATTTAATCTATGAAAAATTTCTTTATTCATATCTAATTCTGTTATTCTGTCTTTCTATCAATTCAAAGAGTAATGTACATAAAGGGTTATCTCTCTACCTAGCTGTGTTACTAGTTTACAATGCACTGGAATCATTTTACACGGTGACTGCTCTCAGTTTGACCGGGTGGGACTCGAAAAATGTATTTACCAAAGACAGTTCTTTTCCTAGGATACCTTAAGCCTTCTTACTCATGGGGACCTTTTTTTTTTTTGTTTTTTTTTTTTGTTGGAGTACAGTGGCAGGATCTCGGCTCACTGTAACCTCCGTCTCCTGGGTTCAAGCATTTCTGCCTCAGCCTCCCAAGTAGCTGGGATTATAGGCGTGTGCCACCACACCCGGCTAATTTTTGTATTTTTGTAGAGATAGGGTTTCGCTATGTTGGTTAGGCTCGTCTTGAACTCCTGATCTCAGGTGATCCACCTGCCTCAGCCTCCTAAAGTGTTGGGATTACAGGCGTGAGCCACCATGCCAGGCCCATTCATGGGGACTTTGTGTTCAGCGCACCTTAGTACTCTATTCATTCTGTCTGGGACTTTGAAGCTGCTGTCTTCATTTTCTTTTTGTGGAGGTAAAAAAGTAACAAGATAAAGCAAAACAATAAAACTATATTGGAATAAAACAGTACCTTGAAGTGATACATTTGAAATACAATAAGCCTGGGCAACATAGTGAGACCTCATCTCTGCAAAAAATAAGAAAGCCAGTTGTGGTGGTTGGTAGGTGCCTGTAGTCCCAGCTATTTAGGAGGTTGAGGTGAGGGGATCATTTGAGCCTGAGAGGTTGAGGCTACAGTGAGCCACGTTGTTGCCATTGTACTCCAGCCTGGGTGACAGAGCAAGACCCTGTCAAAAAAAAAAAGAGAGAATACAGTATACTGAAATCAAGGTTTTTATGGTTAGTAGAGCATAATTTGGTCATATTGCACTGGATGGTTTTTTATTATTGATTAAGCTATTGAAAGTCCTTTAATACCCTTGGTACATGTGGTATGGGTAAAAAGGTTCTCATGGCGACAAACACAATCAGTGCTTTCTGCATAAGAGATATGTTTGATTTGTAGGTAATATGCATGGCCCAACAGGAAGATGAACTATAACATAAGTTAGCTGGTATATCTGTGGCTTATCATCTGGTGCTTCATAGTGGGGAATTAAAAAAGAAAACTATGGCCAGGGGGTGGTGGCTCACGCCTGTAATCCCAGCACTTTGGGAGGCTGAGGTGGGCCGATCACCTGAGATCGGGAGTTCGAGACCAGCCTAACAACATGGAAAAACCCATCTCTACTAAAAATACAGAATTAGCTTGGTGTGGTGGTGCATGCCTGTAATCCCAGCTACTCTGGAGGCTGAGGCAGGAGAATTGCTTGAATCCAGGAGACAGAAGTTGCGTGAGCCGAGATCATACCATTACACTCCAGCCTGGGCAACAAGAGCGAAACTCAGTCTTACACACACACACACACACACACACACACACACTCTCTCTCTCTCTCTCTCTCTCTCTCTCTCTCTCTCTCTCTCTGGGGAAAATATCATTATTATGGTATGTGTGTGTAAGCCGTTGTATAGGAAAGGGTAGAAATTCATTGGAACATTTGGTATTAGTCTCGTTGGAAGATGGTTTCCACGTTTGAACATCATGTTCCTGAATGTGGATTAAGGTCTGTGTGTGCGTGCGCTCGATAATTTTCATTAACAAGTATTTACAGGCATTGTAAGCTTGGGAAATGTGGTGGTGGGCAAGAAAGCACCTCTGGAGACAGACTGTAAACAGTAAGTAAGAATGTTAGGTGATGATAATAGCTGTGAAGAAAATAAGAAAACAATGTGCAATGACTTGGGGTGTTACTTTAAAGTGGTCACAAAGATACTCCCTGTTCTGAAGCCTTTTTCGCCAGTGGGGCAGCTGAACTTGGTCTGTGGGCTGGATGAAAATGACGTTAAACAGAGTAAATAATAATTTGTTTTAGCCCAGAGCATCTTGAGAAGTTAATCCAAAGGATGGAAGTGGGCTGGTTGAAGTGTTCTCTCAGTTTATATCTTTATGCTTTGTGAATAGGGAACTGGCTCAAAAGAGCTTAAGGGAGATCATTAGTGGTACCTTGTAAAGGCTAAGAAAGAGGAGTGGTGTCTGCTTTTTAAAAATCATCCTGATAAAAAATGTACAGATGTGTTATAATATTGATGAGTGTTAGTGTAGGAAACATTCTCTAGTTGTGTCTGTTTCTTTTTTCCACCCCCCTCCCCCCGTTAAATCTAGACCTATGAATGAGTTCGTGTTTCTTTGTTGGGGATCCTCTATTTGGGTAGTGGGGTGGGGTTGTCAGAGAAAGCAAGGATAGCTTAAGCAGAGGCTCTGGCAGGGGAGGGAACAGTGCAGATCAGATAGGCTCAATTAACCATTTCCAGGAGGGTTCGTCCCCTGTCTTTCCCAGCCAGCTGGCATCCAGCTTACCTTCTCCCACCCTTTTCATACTCTGATTATAGAATCTCAGAGCTGGAAGACATCTAGGAAATTGTCCAGTCTAACCCTTTGGCTTTACAACTCAGGAAGATGTCAAGAGGGTGGTAATTCACCCAAAGTTACCTGGCTTTATGGTGACAGAATCAAGGGTAGGACCTGTTCTTTGCCATCTATGCACCATGCTCTTTTTTTTTTTTTTTTTTTTTTTTTTTAAAATAGAGACGGAGTTTGACTGTTTTGGTCAGGCTGATCTCGAACTCCTGACCTCAGGTGATTGCCTGACTTGGCCTCCCAAAGTGTTAGGATTACAGGTGTGAGCCACTGCACCCAGCCTACACCATGCTTTTACCAGCTTAGTTGACAGTGGCTCTTGAATGGACAAAGGAAGCTCCTGGGTGTTAATGTACTCACTTGGGAAAAAGCCTATATAGCTCCAGTCTTAAGATATCAGGGAGAGACAGTACACATCAATCTTGAAAGCAGAGACTAAGAAAATTGTACTCCTGTTAATTTTCACAAAGATGTGCAGTGTTGGCTTCTTAGGCCCTATTGGTTTCTCTCATCCTGATTATGCATTGGTCCAAAATAGGTGACATGGAGAAACTTCCTTGGCCATGGTCAGTATTAGTTGTTCATTTAGAGTGAGGCCTTTTAGGTGTAGGGGAAACTCCTGGCATGTGGCTAAAATGGGTTTCTAGAACTCAAAGAGTTAAGACTTCAGCATTTTTAAGTTACTTACCTCCAGACCTCAGTTTCAGGGAAGCCAGATTTCACTGCTGCATTTAAAAGTGCCCTAAGGATGAAACACTACCTTTGAGAGTCTGGAGAATGTTCACTATGCTTGGCAAGAAAAGGGATTCTTGAGAAGTCAAGCAGGGGTACTTCCCTGGGCGTTTCCCTGATTTAGTGCTGTGGGAGACCAGTTACTTGGGGATGGATTTTGTATGCTTTTGGCAGTGATGTGAGAGGATACTCTTGCTGAGTAAAGTCCACATGATAGAGGGAAGGCAGCAGAGCATGTGAAGGAGGATGCATACCTCATCCTGGCTCCATCACTTGCTATCGGTGACTTTGGGCATTTTGCCTGAGCTGTAGTTCCCTCATCTGTGCAATGGAGGGATACCTTCTTCTGGGCCATTGCGGGAAGGAACTAAAATAGGAAAAGTATATGGTGAAGTGCACTGCCTGCAGGTGGCACTCACAGAATGGTAGCTGTCTATTAAACTATCAGTCTATGTTGTGCTGTGTCCTGCGACACTGGACTAGAGCGGGGCTGGTCCCTGCCAATTCTGTTGATTTTAGGTCCTCAAATATTGGCCTAGTAGAGAAGGGCAATTAAATAGGGATATCAAAAGTGTTCTCATAGGGGGATACAAGGTGCTGTACCAGGAGTGTGACTCTGACTTGAAAGGTCACTGGAAGGTTCTCAGAGCAAGCAGGAAGGACCGTGTACTTCCTCATCAGCCTGCTGAGCTTGGTGTCTCTTTCTACCTCTGGTTGTTCATCCAGTTATGCTTGACCATTGGCATTCTCCAGACCATATTATCTATTTATGTATTTATTTTTTTTGAGATGGTGTCTCACTCTGCTGCCCAGGCTGGAGTGCAGTGAGTGGAGGCTCCCCTGCCTCAGTCTCCTGAGTAACTGGGATTATGGGCGTATGCCACCACACCTGGCTAGTTTTTTATATTTTTAATAGAGATGGGGTTTCACCATGTTGGTAAGACTGGTCTCAAGCTCCTGACCTCAGGCAGTCCGCCCACCTCGGCCTCCCAAAGTACTGGGATTACAGGCATGAGCCACCATGCCTGGCCCTCCAGACCCTGTTTTTTCAGTGTCCTGTCTCCCTTGGTGGTCTCTGGTCTCCCCAGGCTTTTGTGATTGTTCGTAAGCTGATGACCCCACATTGACTTCTTCAGATAGATGTCTTCTAGCACCTTCAACTCCTGCTGGCACAGCTGCTTGACCATCTCACTGGTATCTTGAGCTTCTTAAGTCCAAAACTGAACACTTACTCCTTACAAACTCTGTCCTGCACTTGTCCCCTACTCCATAAGTGGCTCTGCCTTACCCAGTTTCTCAAATCAGATTTCTCCTTTTCTGTCACCACCCTCTACCTCTAATCTATCATTGAGTTACTGTCAGTGCTATTTCCGTAAGATGATGCTTTCATCTGTACCGCCACCACCCTCTTCACCTCTTACCTGGAATGATGATGGCCTCATTTCTGCTCCTGTTTGCCTCTATTCCACTTCACTTAGAGTGGCCAAGAGTCATCTGTGTCTACTCTGCTAAAAATCTTTTAATGGTTTCCCATAGCACTTAGATTCCAAACTCCTCCACAAGGTTCACAAGGCCTGGAATAATCTGGCTCCCACTTGCTGCCTCTCTGACTCTCCTGTTGCTTTTGCTTATGCCCTCCAGTCATACTCACTCTTTTTCAGTTCCCGGAAGGTGGCAGGCTCTTTCTCACCTCTGGAACTGTTTTCAAGACAGAGTTTTGCTCTGCGCCCAGGCTGGAGTATAGTGGCCCAATCTTGGCTCACTGTAACCTCGGCCTCCCAGGTTCAAGTGATTCTCCTGCCTCAGCCTCCCTAGTAGCTGGGACTACAGGTGTGCACCACCACGCCTGGCTAATTTTTGTGTTGTTAGTAGACCAGCTAATTTTTGTATTGTTAGTAGAGATGGGGTTTCACCAAGTTGGCCAGACTGGTCTCAAACTCTTGATCTTGTGATTTGCCCACCACAGTCTCCGAAAGTGCTGGGATTACAGGTGTGAGCCACCATCTGGAACTTTTTTATACACTGTTTCCTTTATCCAGAGTGCTCTGGCCAGCCTATCCGTTTTCCCACCCTTCAGGATATTTGTTGAATGAGCCAGAGGCTCTAAACGGGATATGGGGCAAGGAGGAAAGTGCCCTCTGAGTGCATCTACAAAAAACTTAAAAAAAAAAAAAAAAAAAAAAAAAAAAAGAAGTAGAGGAAAATGTGTTTGAAGAGCTGAAAGACTAAGTTTGGTTGTGGCATAGGTAAGAGTTATTTAAGCAAAACACGTAGGAGTCAGGCAGCTGGATCTTGAATGCCCTGCTAATGGGAGTAGAAAATGATGCAACCACTTTGGAAAACTGGCAGTTTCTCAGAGAGTTGAACATACATCTTCCCTGTGACCCAGCAGTTTAATTTCTAGGTATTTATCCAAGAGAAATGAAAATGTCCAGAAATAAGACCTATAAAAGAATGTTCATAGCCAAATAATAACCAAAACTGTAAATAGTCCAGATGTCCATCAGACAGTGAATAACAAATTGGCGTGTCATATAATGGAAGACCACAAACAACAAGGAACAAACTACAGATATTCGTAATAAGGATTAATTTCACAAATATTATGCTCAGTGAAAAGCCAAACAAAAATCATACGTAATGGGTGATCCCACTTAACAGACATTCAAGAATTGGCAGAACTTATCTGTGTACTAGATTTCAGATTAGTGTGGCTTCTTGGGTAGAAGGTGATTGACTTGGAGAAGATGTGAGGGAACTTTTTAGAGTATGGAAATGTTTAGGTCTTGATAGGCATTCATCAAAATGGATTAAATCATACGCTGTATGTGATTTGACTGTAAAAAATCACCTGTAACTAAACAGCCAAAAGCAACCCAGGAATTGTTCTGGATTCCCTTTTCCCCTCACTTTCAACATCTAATTGTTCAGGACGTTCTGTTTGAGTTATATTCAAAACATATCCTGAGTTTGAGCCAGTCGTGGTGGCTCACACCTGTAATCCCAGCACTTTGGGAGTCTAAGGCATGTGGATTGCTTGAGCCCGGGAGTTCAAAAAAGGCCTGGGCAACACAGTGAGACCCTGTATCTAAAATTTTTTTTAAGTTAGCTGAGCGTGGTGGTACCCATTTGTAGTCTTAGCTACTTGGGAGGCTGAGGTGGGAGTACTGTGTCAGCCAGCTGTGATTGTGCAACTGCACTCCAGCCCGAATGACAGAATGAGACCCTGTTTGAAAAAGAACAAAACCAAAAACCATATACATACATGTATCTCTCTCCTGAATTTATTCCCTTCCATCTCAAGAACCATCCCCTCCTATCTGAACTGTTTTATTATTTCCTGACTGGTTTTCCTACCCTCTGTTTTTGCCTTCCTTCCAAACCATTTTTTCCATTTGCTAGCTAAAGTGATCTCAAAAATTCAGATTGGATTATGTCATTTGCCTTCCTGAAATGCTCCATTGGTTTTTCATTGCTTTCATAGTGGCCAGCAGGGTCCTATACGACCTTTGCCTCCCTCTGAACCCATTTGACCTGGTCTCCTCCTTGCTCCCTAAGCTTACAGCTTTGTTGGCCTTCTCTCTCTCTCTTGAACTCCTCAAGCTCATTTGTACCTTAGGACTTTTACGCTTGGCTCCACCCTCTGGAACACTCTGCTTCTCAAATCTGTGACTTGTTTCTGTTTGTCATTCAGGTTGAGCTTAAATGTAACCTTCTCTGAGAGATTTTCCCTGACCCTCCCTGTCTAAAGTAGCACCCCATTACATCACCCTACCTTGTTTTGTTCATAGCTTTTATCACAGTCTGAATTTATCTATTTTGTTTTGGTTCTGGTTTTGTTTTTTTGTTGTTACCGTTTTGAGACAGAGTTTCACTCTTGTTGCCCAGGCTGGAGTGCAATGACGCCATCTTGGCTCACTGCAGTCTCCACCTCTCGGGTTCAAGCGATTCTCCTGCCTTAGCCTCCAGAGTAGGTGTGATTACAGGCATGTACTACCATGCATGGCTAATTTTGTATTTTTATTAGAGATGGGGTTTCTCCATGTTGGCCAGGCTGGTCTCAAACTCCAGACCTCAGGTGATCTGCCCACCTCAGCCTCCCAAAGTGTTGGGATTACAGTCTTGAGCCACTGCGCCTAGCCAAATTTATTCTTTAAAAAATTTTTTAATTAACTTAAAAAAAAAAAATAGAGACAAGGGTCTCAGTTTGTTGCCCAGGTTGGTCTTGAACTCCTGGCTTCAAGCAATCCTCCTGGGATTACAGGCATGAGCCTCCATGAACAGCCTGAATTTATCTTGTCCTTTTGTTTATCTTCTTTCTCCTCTTAGGTTTAAACTTGTGCCCTTCACTGCTATATAGACAACAGTATTTGATACACAGTGGGCCAGATGTGTTAAGTGAAGTTATTGAGGATAGTGGTGATGGGATGAGAGCTGTTGAAGGTGTACTTGGTGAGGGAGGAGGTGCCAAGGAGAAGCAAGACTTCTTTTGCGAAACCAGGTGATGGCATTGCATTCATTGAAATAGAAAACAACTGAGGAAGAGAAGATTGGAGTAGGATATAAAATAATGAACTTGGTTTTGAATGTAAGTTTGAGATGCATGTAAGACATCATGTGTTTGAGCACGGATCTGCCATTTAGGAGAAGGAACTGGGCTGTAGGTTAAGACTTGGAGGTTTGCATATGTATCATAATTCCAGCCTAGGAGTACATGAAATTGCCCTTAGGGGTAGATAAAGAATGTGAGTATGTAGAGTAGTTTCTTTCTTGTTTCCTAAGTGATGGGCATCTCCTGCCAGTAATGGAAACTTCTCTTGGGTCTCTGCCCCTAAAAAGGTTTTGTAGTTTTAAAATCCCACAGGGAGTTATGTTATTCTTGCTAACAATGACTAGTATTCAAGGGCCCAGGACAGAAACTCTGAGAAAAGCGAACATTTAGGGGAGCATGGTAGCTCTTAAAGAACATCAGGAATGCAACCAGACAGGCTGGAGGAAACTCCAGAGAGCAGGAACCAGGGAAGAGTTTTTCTTTTTCTTTCTTTTTTTTTTTCTTTGCTTTTTTTTTGTTTGAGACAGAGTCTGGCTCTGTCTCCCAGGCTGGAGGTCAGTGGTGCGATCTTCTCTCACTGCAGCCTCTACCTCCCAGGTTCAAACAGTTCTCCTGCCTCAGCCTCCTGACTAGTTGAGACTACAGGTACGTGCTACCACGCCCAGCTAAATTTTTTTTTTTTTTTGTATTTTTAGTACGTAGAGGCCAGGTTTCACCGTGATAGCTCGGATGGTCTCAGTCTCCTGACCTGGTGATCCACCCACCTTGGACTCCCTAAATGCTGGGATTACAGGTGTCAGCCACCATGCCCGGCCAGGGGAGAGTTTTTCATGTCAGAGGCAGTAGACAAGATTACTGAGAAATGTCAGTTGGGTGGAGAGGGAGGCGGGCTTCTGGGGAGATTGTCATGTATTGATGAGAAAAGTGAAGACAGTAAATTGGGAGTCAAAACCTCCCTAAAGTTTCACTGTTAGAGAAAAGTAAAATATAGATGCAGGGAGAATCTGAGGTCAAGAGAAGAACTCTTTTATGGGTTTTTTGTTTGTTTGTTTGTTTTTTGAGACGGAGTCTCACTATATCACCAGGCTGGACTGCAATGACACAATGTTGGCTGACTGCAACCTCTGCCTCCCAGGTTTAAGCGATTCTGCTCCCTCAGCCTCCCGAGTAGTTGGGACTACAGGTGCCCACCCGCCACCACACCCAGCTAATTTTTTGTATTTTTAGTAGAGATGGAGTTTCACTGTGTTGGCCAGGATGGTCTTGATCTCTTGACCCTCGTGATCTACCTACCTCAGCTTCCCAAGGTGCTGGGATTATTGGCGTGAGCCACTGAGCCCGGCCTATGTGTGTGTGTATGTTTTTTCTTTTTAATATAGATAGTTCTTATGCTGGAGTTACGTCCTGATAAACCCATCCATCCTAAGTCAGATATGTTTAATATACCTAACCCACTGAATGTCGTAGCCTAGCCTAGCCTTAGATGTGCTTACAACACCTACATTAGCCTGTAATTGGATGAAATCATCTAACACAAAGCCCATCTTATAATAAAAGTGTTCAATTTATTGAATACTATACTGAAAGTGAGAAGCAGAATGGTTGTGTGGGTATTCAAAGTAGGGTTCCTGCTGAATGCTTGTCACTTTTGCACCATCCTGAAGTGAAAGTTCTAAGTATATGAGAAACCAGAGCATGTGTAAATCCTGATTAGGAGCCAGCACACAGGATGGTGTTGAAGATGCAGGAGAGTGAGAGGATGTTGAATTGAGGACCTTCCTTTGGAACTCAGAACCGGGTGTGATCCCCTGTGATTGGCGTTTAGTAAGGATATCCTCCCAGAGAGCAGAGGTGTGTGGGTGGGACACAGGCTGCACATGGGGCAGAAATGTAAGGAGTGCTCTTCTGTGAGCACTGGAAGATCCTCTGCCGAGGCAGGAGGAGGGAGTGTGGAGAGTAGAAAGTTTCAGGGAAAGCAGGAAAGATTTTAAGAAACTGCTCTGCCAAGCAGATAGAGCTAAGGAAACAATAATTGTAGGGGGAAAGAAAGTAGTTAAGATGAGCTTTCCACTTCCTGGGATTTTAGAGAAACTGGTCAGACCTTTGTAATGCTTTGTCTAGGTTTGGATTCCAGTGATTTGGACACAACTTTTTTGTGCCTTGTGCCTGGCAGTTCCACTGTTTCTCATATACTTCCACTAATCCCATTTATTAGACCAGTGACTTGTAAATTATTTCACAGCCCTCACATTTTATTTAAAAAATATGTATGTAGCACGAGCTGTGTAGGTAGGTGGCAGTGTGCTTAGTGTTATATCAAAATAGCATGATAAGATGGGAGTGTTGGGGGAGGAGCACTCTCATCTCTTCCATGCTGGGCTGCCGCAGGTCTGCAGAGGCATTTTGGGGCATAGGAGGCCTGGCTGGGGCAGAAGTAAGGAATCATACTCTTCCCAACTCCAGCCAGAGCAACTCATCTCTCTTATCTTTTGGATGTATCAGCATAAGGTTTTTGCTGAAAAAAGACTTACAGAATATTTTCTTTTTTTGAGACGGAGTTTCGCTGTTGTTGCCCAGACTGGAGTGCAATGGCACGATCTCGGCTCACCGCAACCTCCGCCTCCTGGGTTCAAGCAATTCTCCTGCCTCAGCCTCCCGAGTAGCTGGGACTACAGGCACGCACCACCATGCCCAGCTAATTTTTTGTATTTTTTTAGTAGAGACGAGGTTTCACCTTGTTGACCAGGATGGTCTCGATCTCTTGACCTCGTGATCCACCCGCCGCAGCCTCCCAAAGTGCTGGGATTATAGGCGTGAGCCACCGCGCCCGGCCGTCTTACAGAATATTTTCAAACACTGCTTCAGTAGTCTCTACGGTCCTTATAGTCAGGGCTGTGTTTTGCTTTATTTTATAGCCCCATCATCTGCATTGTTGCCTGTCAGTACACTGATAATGAATGTACTATTTTGCCTCTGAGCCTCTGCTTTCTAGTACCCGTGCCTCCTCCCTGTCTCTTCCCCACCCATCTCTAGCTATATATTACAATTAAAATAGAATGTGTCTGTTTCGTCGCAAATGTGTATATTCTTAGGTGATCACTATGCCTTGCTAATCTTTATGTCTTTATGTCCTGTTCACATAATTCTATTAAAGTAAAGTTGAATTTGGATTTGTTATAGAAAACTTGCAAAGCTCTCCTAAGAGTAAGTAAAGTCAATAGAGAGTACGGGCAAAAATCCGGAGAAAATATAAGCAGGAAAACCATAGCAGACAGTGTCAGATGGAATCTTAGTGGTTTAGGTGAAGAACCCAGAGAACTACCTGCCCTGTGAGGAATGTTGGGTGTTTCTCCTGGAGGGTTTTAATTTTTGAGACAGGGTCTTGCTCTGTCACCCAGGCTGGAGTGTGATGACATGATCATGGCTCACTGCAGCCTTGAACCCCTGGGCTCAAATGATCTTCCTGCCTCAGCGTCCTATCTGGGACTACAGGCACATGCCACCACACCCTGCTAATTTTATTTTTTATAGAGGTGGGGGTCTTGCTAGGTGACCAGGCTGATTTTGAATTCCTGGCCTCAAGCAGTCTTCCCGTCTAGACCTCCCAGAGTGCTGGGATTAGAGGCCACTGTGCCTGGACCCTGGAGAGTTTAGAACAATAAAATAGAACTACTACTCCATAGCAGAAGTATAGAGAACATGCCTGCCAGATTCCAGCCAGATTGCTCCTATACATGCAACATACAATTAGTGTAAATGAACCTAAACAGATTTACCAGTCTGTACATTAGTAGACAGATGTAAATAGAAAGGTACACTATACATTGAACTTAATGTTACCTTTTTTTTTTCTGATAGATAGAAGTTTAAATATAGCAGAAATACAATATTCATCTTCTCTTGTTGAAGAAGTCTTTATGGAAGTGGATTTAAGTTCTAGCATATTCAGTAGGAGAAATTAGAGTTGAAATGAAGGACGTCGCAGCTTGTATAATTTATAAATGTCTCTTAAAAAAAACAAAAAAAACAAATTTGCTACATTGGCTAGTGCACGTGCTCAAAGTTGGCTTCCCCTAAAGATAAAGAACACAGGCCAAATGAAGCCTATGGGAATGAAACACATCAGAAAATATAAGAAAAAAATTTCTGTTCAGCCAAGCTGCTAAATAGTTGCCATGGTAGGTACAAAAAATTCAAAAATAAATAAAACACTTTAGCTTTTTCCTAGAGTTCAGGGTCTGTGGGAGAGTCCAATATGGATAATTAACATTGATCAACCCTGTGAAGGATTGATAAGGCAATAATAGTGGTGTAGCTGGAGAGTTGGGGAGAAATAGGGAAGAAGCTGTTACTTGTGATCAAGTACGGGAAGAATATTGGAGAAGGCTATAGAGGAGGGGGCATTTGGGTAGACCTTGAAGGATGGACAAGAGAGAGACAAGTGGAAGAGTGGGGAAAAAGCATTCCTAAGAGAGGTCTTTTGGGAACCAAGGCTCAAAAGTATGTAGCACATTATCTATCAAACCCTGGGCTCTTAGTCTAAGGGCTTGGAGAGGACAGGGAGGGGAAGGTCAGAAGGGAATGTGTGCACCCCCCTCCCCCAGTGTGAAAGCAAGGTGGGAATAGCTTGGTGATGAGCTTTGAACCTGAGACTGAGGCACCTGAGTCTTATAAATGGAACACAGTTTTGTGAAGAGAGGTGTGACTACGTGGTTGGGGGCATTGTTCTGACTAAGGAGGAATGGTGGTGGGAAGGAGGTGGGAGGACCTGAAACAGCAGATGAATTGATCATCTTGGCCTCTTACTGTTCTGGTTTTCTCATGGCCAAAACCCTAGTCTACATAAGAAGGATGGTAAAATTTAGCAATTGGTTTAAAGAAAATGGATTTATAGGAAATTTTGGCATCAACCCATTTTGATTCCAAAACAGGTAGGCAAGGATATTTTATTTACCCAAAACTTTATGATAAAGAATGTGAATATTTTTATATAAGCAAAATTTTCCAAGGGCCAGGCCTTGTTCTAAACACTTGACAAAAAAATTAAGAGATAGTGGTGTTATTACCTCTGTTTTTCGGATGAGAAAACTGAATCACAGAGATTGAATGACTTGCCCAAGGTCACCCAACTATTAAGTAGCAGAGCCAGGATTGGGAATCGGGAAAAACTCTCTTCCTCTAATCATGTTTTTCCTCTACTCATTCTACAGTGATCCTGAACGCAGAAGACTTCTGTGGCCAAATGGGAGGGGGTTATTCCCTACGCAACAAGCAGCGAACACCATCGGGGTGTCTTCTAATTGAGTTCTTACACTGACTACCGGGAGATAGTGTCAGATCGCACAGGTCCGGGGCTCAGTCCCTAAGACTGTGTGCTCCCCACACTCCTAGAAACTAGTCACACAAGTCCAGGCCTCCAGAACTTCTGATCGATTGGCTTCTAGTTGGGGTTCCCACAGCCCCCTCTTTGAGTTTGATTAATTTGCTTACAGAACTCTGGGAAACACTTAGATTTACCAGTGTATTATAAAGGATATTGCAAAGGATACAGTAGAAGAGATGCATAAAGCAATGTTTGGTGGAAGGGGCACCGCCCTCCAGGAACCTCCATTTGTTCAGCACCCAGAAGCTCCCCAAACCTTGTTTTCCTCTTGGGTTTTTGTTGCTGTTGTTTTGAATTTAGGAGTGGAAGTTTAATAGGCAGAAGAAAAGAGAAAGAGAAACAGCACTCTCTATAGAGAGAAGGATCTAAAGTGGAGGCCGAGAGTCTCAGAATAAAGTGACAGAGTTGGAGTCTGCTCCTCTATTCACACTTTCAGTGAATGTTATACCCTGTACGAGGCCCCCAGTATGAAGCAGTTACGTTGTCTGGGGTGTATACCCTGTGGTTCGTTGTCGTGCTCCAGGAAAATTTAGGACGTGGACACACACGGGGATTTTAGGAGCAGAGGTTTAATAGGCAGAAGAGAAAGAGGGGACTTCTATATAGAGAGGGATCTCAGAGCAGAAAGGACCTGCTTGGATTTTTATGGAAGTTTCCTGATGTCAGTGTGTCTTCTCCCAGGGTATAGGGCAGGAACCTCTCTGGGAAGGATCTTAAGAGCCACAATCATGAGGTCAAGAGATCGAGACCATCCTAGTCAACATGGTGAAACCCCGTCTCTACTAAAAATACAAAAAATTAGCTGGGCATGGTGGCACGTGCCTGTAATCCCAGCTACTCAGGAGGCTGAGGCAGGAGAATTGCCTGAACCCAGGAGGTAGAGGTTGTGGTGAGCCGAGATCGCGCCATTGCACTCCAGCCTGGGTAACAAGAGTGAAAGTCCATCTCAAAAAAAAAAAAAAAGCCACAATCTGAAAGATAGGGACTGATGAGAGTCCTGCCTTAGGGCAGATGAATGAGTGGAGGGCAGGTGAGAGATTGTTTCCTCAGGCCTAAACACACCCAACATTGTAACAAAAGACTGTTATTAGCAAGGGCTGGACAAAAAACAATATATATTATGACACCGCAGGACCCTGGCTCTATGCTCTCAACCTGTACCCTGTGTGAATCTGTTTAATTTAAATGAGGTGGAAAAAAAAAGCTGGAATAAAACTTGCAGGATAAGTTTGTGGCCCCTTTGAAGAAGAGTTTAGTTTTGTGTTATAGAAAGAAAAAGGAGGGGAGCCAGGAAGTACTGTTCTAGGATCTACCTAGGAAAATAGTCAGCTTTGTGAGGGCAAGGACTTGTCTGTTCCTCATCATATTTCTGGCATCCAGAACAGTGCTTGGTATGTAGCTAATGCTTAGCAAATATTTTTGAATGAATCAGTAAATGAAATAAAATTTTGCTACCAGCTTTCAAAGGAATATGCCATGGAAGCTTCAGTTACTTTTTTCCCTTTGGTTTATGGTTCAGGATTCTTTCTGAATTAATGAATTTATTACTTGTTTCTACTGAACTTATTTTGTTCAACTTTTCAAGGAATACCAGTTTACTGTTTTCAGGATTTAAAAAAAAATGAACTTGTTGGCTGGGCACAGTGGCTCACGCCTACAATCCCAGCACTTTGGGAGGCTGAGACAGTGGATCACCTGAGGTCAGGAGTTCAAGACTAGCCTGGCCAACATGCCAAAAACATCATCTCTGCAAAAAAATACATTAGCCGGGCATGGTGGTACACGCCTGTAATCCCAGCTACTCAGGAGACAGAGGCGCAGGGTGAATTGCTTCAACCCAGGAGGCGGAGGTTGCAGTGAGCCAAGATCACACCATTGCACTCCAGCCTGGGCAACAGGGTGAGACTCTGTCTCAAAAAAAATCAACTTGCTTTCAAAATAAAAATATTAGATTTTTAACATTCCAACAGAAATCTTTTTATATAAATAAAACTTTCATTGATGCTTTCATTTTTGCATATGCCTATACTTAAAGTGTAAACCTTGAAAATATTACTAAATAATTGAAATTCACATCTAATTATTGTAGTTGAGATAATTATGTAATCCTTTTTAGAGATGTTTAGTAAATATTTTTCAATGGACCAAGCATTATCTCTACTTTTTTTTTTATTTTAAAATATGATACTGGCCTCTCCTGTATCTCTTGAAGAAGTTTCTTAGTGATTCATTAGGAAATTCTCTTCCTGGAGCCCAATGACAATGACAGTGCAGCTCAAGTAGTGTCTCTACTGATGTAAAGTCACAGTATTGATCATGGAGAAGTCATGTGTCTGATTTCATTAGCAAATTAATAGGTGCTGTTGGTGTCTAAGGAAGAGTAAACTAATGAATTATCTCTACTTTAGTTTGCATTAGATCATTAGGGAATAGGGAAATAAGAAATTTTTTCTTTTGCCACCTATAAACGAATAAAGCCTTAGTTTTGATTTTTTTTTTCTCCTATGACTCCCTGTCACTTGAAGGCCTTAGTTTTATAAACCAACAAATTTTACTTCTCATTGACCTGATTCAGTTTATTAGCCTTTTATTAAAATATGTACTTCCTTCCTTCATAATGTTTTATTTTTTGTTAAACATTTGACTCTTAAATGTTTGAAAAAAAAAAACTCACTATAACAGTATTTTTATTCTAGAGTTAATATGATTATATAAAAATAGTTATTTTTGTTGAAATAGTTAATATATGGGAATAATTATATATGTTTAAAAATGCCAAGATTGTTAATCTAGTGTTTTAGTTAAAAAAAGCTTTTAAAACTGTCTTATGTGTGGATGAAGGTGATTTTTAAAGACTATTTTATAAAGTATTTCCCAAGTTTATGTTTGTAGATGTTAGCTCTCCCAAAGATTTCTTGAGTGTTTGTTTCAGATGGATTTAGGCCATAATTCTGAAAGACAAAGTTGCTTTTTTTGTTTCGTTTTGAGATGGAGTTCCTCTCTGTCACCCAGGTTGGAGTGCAGTGGTGTGATCGTAGCTCACTGCAACCTCTGTCTCTCGGATTCAAGCGATTCTCCTGCCTCAGCCTCCCTAGTAGCTGGAATTACGTGTGTGTGCCACTATGCCTGGCTAATTTTTTTGTATTTTTAGTAGAGACAGGGTTTCCCCATGTTGGCCAGGCTGGTCTCAAACTCCTGACCTCAGATGATCCCCCTCGTGTCAACCTCCCAAAGTGCTGGGATTACAGGCATGAGCCTCTGTGCTCGGCCTGAAAGACATAGTTCTTGATGCCATAATTCCACATGCTGAAATGCCAAAAGATCAAAATCCTAAAAATACAATTCTGGAAAAAATAATCTTAAAAAATTATTTAAAAGACACTTATTTGGGCTAGGTGCGTGACTCAACACCTGTAATCCCGGCACTTTGGGAGGCCTAGGTGGGCAGATTGAGGTCAAGAGTTTGAGACCAGCCTGGCCAACATGGCAAAACCCCATCTCTACTAAAAATACAAAAATTAGCCGGGCATTGTGGCCTATGCCTGTAGTCCCCTCTACTTGGGAGGCTGAGGTGGGAGATTTGCTTGAATGTAGTAGGAGGTGGAGGTTACAGTGAGCAGAACTTTACTTTAGCCTGGGTGACAGAGCAAGATTCTGTCTCACAAAAAAGACGCTTGTTTGGCCAGACACAGGGTTTCACACCTGTAATCTCAGTATTTTGGGAGGCCAAGATGGGCAGATTGCTTGAGCCCAGGAGTTCAAGGTCAGCCTGGGCAACATGGTGAAACCCTGTCTCTACAAAAAAATACAAAAATAAGCAAGGTAGCATGCACCTGTAGTCCAGCTACTTGGGAGGCTGAGGTGAGAGGATCTCTTGAGTCTGGGAGGTGGAGGTTGCAGTGAACTGTGATGGCGCTGCCTGGGCAACAGAGCAAGACTTCGTCTTAAAAAAAAAAAGAAAAAGAAAAGACACTTACTTAAATTTTTTAAAGGACATTTATTTGAGAAACAAAAACACGACAACACTTCATAGGTCACTTAATATAGTTTGGATATGTGTCCCTGCCAAAATCTACTGTTGAATTGTAATCCCCAATATTGGAAGTGGAGGCTGGTAGGATGTAATTGAATTATGGGGGTGGATTTTTTGTGAATGGTTTAGTACCATCCCTTGATGCTGTCCTCAAGATGGTGAGCGACTTCTGGCAAGATCTGGCTGTTTAAATGTCTGGCACCTCGCACTCTCTCTTGCTCCATCCTCATTACGTGGTGTGTCTGTACCCGCTTTGCCTTCTGCCATGATTGGAAGCTTCCTGAGGCCCTCCGAGAAGCAGATGCGGCTATGCTTTCTTTACAGCCTGCAGATCTGTGAGCCAATTAAATCCCTTTTCTTGTAAGTTACTCAGTCTCAGGTATTCCTTTATAACAGTGCAGGAATGGCCTAGTATACCACTTTATACAATGAAATAGTAACAAATGTATTTTGCAAGTGTAATCACTCAGTATTCTAACAACAGTTGCATGGGTGTAACATTTTGTAACTGTGGTCCTCTGAAATACCATGATGGACAAACTAGGTCTTTTGATGAGGTCAGTAAAAACCAGGATGGGTCATCATCACTGCATGTGTAGTCGCCTCAAGAGCAGAGATGTTGTCGAATTTTATCTTTCACAAATGCAGATGTAGAAAAAGGACATCTCATTTATTCTTGTCCAGGCTGGAGTGCAGTGGCGCAATCTCAGCTCATTGCAACCTCCGCCTCAAGCGTTCAGACGATTCTCCTGTCTCAGCCTCCCAAGTAACTGGGATTACAGGTGCCCACCACCATGCCCAGCTAATATTTGTATTTTTTGTAGAGTTTCACCTGTGGGCCAGGCTGGTCTTGAACTCCTGACCTCAGGTGATCCTCCCTCCTTGACCTCGCAAATGCTGGGAATATAGGCGTGAGCCACCATGCCCAGCCAGTTTTAACTTTTTTTAAAGAGACGATAGTCTAGCTATGTTGGCCATGCTAGAGTGCAGTCACTATTCACTGGCATGGTCATAGTGCACTTCAGCCTCATACTCCTGGCCTCAAGTGATCCTCCTACCTCAGCCTCCCTACTAGCAGGGACTATGGATGCTCCACCACACCTGGCTTCCATATTTGTATGTACACAGGCAGTGCTTATACACAAAGTCAGCATTGTGATAATGCACTTCTGTGGAGTTCAGTTTGTCAAAAAGTGCATAGAATTAATTAGAACTCTCTAAAAGTCTCTACACAATTTATACCTCCAGTATTAGAAATGATGTGAAGATAAAATACATAGCATAGCAAATTTGTACTATGTGTGAAAGAGCAGAAGTCATACACCATCAAATTTGGCAGGGGAGATAACTTGCATTTTTTGTCTGCATTTTCACTTCTTTGATCTTCAAAACACTTGAGGAACTTTTATTTGCAAAGTGATTGTGATCCACAAATTTTATAAGTATATACTGCCCATTTGAAAGTCAGATTATTGCCTGGCCATTGCAGTGAAAGCAGTTTTCTGCTTTTGCAGCACCAGTAATAATTAGCTTTTAAACTTTTATCTTTCACCATTAAGTAGCCTTGTGCACTTATCACAGCCTTTGTGTGAAGGAACAGTTTCACAGATCTCTTCAATTGTGTTATAAAGAATAAAGTAAGAAGAAATGATCACTTCCTCAACACCAAATCTGTATTAGTCAAGGTTCTCTAGGGAGACAGAACCAATAGGATATGTATATAGATATATGAGGGGATTTTTTTTTTTTTTTTGGGGAGGGGGTTTGGCTGTTGTTTGGAGACGGAGTTTCGCTCTTGTTACCTAGGCTGGAATGCAATGGCGCAATCTCAGCTCACCGCAACCTCCGCCTCCTGAGTTCAGGCAATTCTCCTGCCTCAGCCTCCTGAGTAGCTGGGATTACAGGCACACGCCACCATGCCCAGCTAATTTTTTGTATTTTTAGTAGAGATGGGGTTTCACCATGTTGACCGGGATGGTCTTGATCTCTTGACCTCGTGATCCACCCACCTCGGCCTCCCAAAGTGCTGGGATTACAGGCGTGAGCCACCGCGCCCGGCGGGATTTTTTTTTTTTTTCTTTGATGGAATTTCACTCTGTTGCCCAGACTGGAGTACAGTGGCGCAGTGTCTGTTCATTGTGACCTCTGCCTCTAGGGTTCAAGTGATTCTCCTCCTTCAGCTTCCCTAGTAGCTGGGATTACAGGCATGTGACACCACACCCAACTAATTTTGTATTTTTAGTAGAGACGGAGTTTCTCTATGTTAGGCTGGTCTCAAACTCCTGATCTCAGATAATCCGCTTGCCTTAGCCTTCCAAAGTGCTGGGATAATAGATGTGAGCCACCGTGCCCGGCCATCTGAGGGAATTTATTAGGGGAATTGGCTCATATAATTATGGTGGCTGAGATCATCTGCAGGCTGAGACCCTGGGATGCTAGTAGTGTAACAAAAATCCAAAGGCCTCAGAACCAGGGGAGCTAATGGTGTTATCTCTCAGTCCAAGGTTAAAAAGCCTCAGAACCCAGGGGGCCACTGGTTAAGTCCTGGAGTCCAAAGGCTGGCAAGCCTGGAGTTCGATATCCAAGGCAGCAGAAGAAAAGCCTGTTCCAGCTCTCAGCAATTCACCTTCTGTGTACTCTGTGGGCTCCTGGCTGATTGAATGGAGCCCACCAACATAGAGCTCCATGTTGGTGGGCTATGGGCCCTCCCTGACTACTCAGACTCGCACACTAATCTCTGGAAACACCCTCACAGACACACCCAACGCAGTGCTTCACCAGGTTTCTAGGTGTTCCTTCTTCCAGTCAAGTTGATAGCTAAAATTAAGTCTACAAATCTACCCTTGGCAACTGGGTGCCCATAAGCATCTCCTTAAACCATACCTAATTTCCAAATAACAACAATAGCAAGGTCATAGTTCCACCCAGGATGATGCAACTATATTGT